GATGGGGGTGGAGACGCTCCTTCAGGTCTACTGGGCCGAGGCCGTTTAGGGCTTTAAAGGTCAGGACCAACACTTTGAATTGTGCTTGGAAATGTACTGGGAGCCAATGTATGTCTTTCAGGACATGTGTTATATGGTCCCAGTGGCCACTCCCAGTCAACAGACTAGCTGCCGCATTCTGGATTAGTTGTAGTTTCTGGATCACCTTCAAAGGTAGCCCCACATAGAGCGCATTGCAGTAGTCCAAGCGGGAGATAACTAGAGCATGCACCACTCTGGTGAGACAGTCTCCGGGCAGGTAGGGTCTCAGCCTGCGTACCAGATGGAGCTGGTAGACAGCTGCCCTGGATACAGAATTGACCTGTGCCTCCATGGACAGCTGTGAGTCCAAAATGACTCCCAGGCTGCGCACCTGGTCCTTCAGGGGCACAGTTACCCCATGCAGGACCAGGGAGTCCTTCACACCAGCCCACCCCCTGTCCCCCAAGAACATTACTTCCATATTGTCAGGATTCAACCTCAATCCATTAGCTGCCATCCATCCTCTAACCGCCTCCAAGCACTCACACAGGACCACATTCTCGGGGCTAACGGATTAAAATTGATTCCATGCAACTTGACCAGTCAGGTCTCTAGCACTCTCCCACCCCGGCCCTGCTCCCACGGTGGTGTCTACCTCCTTCCGAATATGAGCGACTTTATCTGCAAAAAAATTTGCAAAATCGTTGCAGGAGATCTTGGGGTCTTTACAAGGCCCCGGTGGTAAAGGTGGTTCCGTTAAATTGCAAACCACCTGAAAGAGTCTCCAGCTACTATTTTCTTCAGATGCAATAGAGGCAGTGAAGAAAGTCTTCTTCACCGTCGCTATCGCCACTTGGTAGGCTCGACGTTGAGCTCTAACCTGTGTCCGGTCCAATTCAGAATGAGTTTTCTGCCACCGGCACTCTAGCCGTCTCAGCGATTGTTTCCTCTCCCTCAGCTCCGAAGAAAAACATGGGGCTGTCCGGGCTCCATGCAATCAGAGAGGGCGCTTCGGAGCCAGACAGTTGATAGCCCTGGTTAACTTCGCATTCCAGCGGGCCACCAGGGAATCAGCTGAAAGGCCGTCAACATGGGATAAAGCATGCCCTACCACTCTCTGGAAACCATTTGGATCCATTAAGTGGCGGGGGCGGACCATCCGAATTGGTCCCACCTCCCTGCAGAGGAGAAGGGTCACGGAGAAGTCCAGCTGCACCAGGAAGTGATCTGACCATGGCACTTCTTTTGTTCCACTTTTACCTAGTGTCAGATCACCCACGTCACTAGAGGTGAACACCAGGTCTAAGGCATGTCCGTGACTATGAGTTGGGCCAAACTTATTCAGGGACAGCCCCATGGAAGCCATGCTTTCCATGAAGTCCCAAGCAGCCCCTTGTAAGGTCGTGTTGGCATGGATGTTAAAATACCCTAGGACAACCAAACTAGGTGTCTCCAGGAGAACATCCGCCATGACCTGAAGCAGCTCGGACAGGGAATCCTTGGTGCAGCGGGGAGGTCGGTACACCAAAAGGAATCCTATACTGCCCCTATTGCCCAACTTCCAAAACATGCACTCAGAAAACTGGGTCTTCGCAGTAGGTTGCCTGATGCAAGCTAGTGACTTCCTAAAAATCACTGCAACCCCCCCCCTGCCCACATGACCTGGGTTGCTGTGTGTAAGAGAAACCTGGTGGACAAGCAGCAGCTAGGACAGGACCATCTGCTTCATCCAACCAAGTCTCTGTTACACATGCCAGGACAAATCCTCCATCCACGATCAAGTCATGGATGGCAGTGGTCTTATGAATCATTGACCTAGCATTGCACAGCAACACCTTCAGGTCATGTGGGTTTCCCTTGTTGAGTGCAAATATAACATTGAATCTCAATGCTACAAAATAACTCAGCAAGCTGACATTTATCAAGAGTTAAACAAAGGTTAGTGTACTAAATATTATTTCCAATTCTAGGTACTTTGCTATTGGAGAAATACCATATATGATTATAAAAATCTAAAGCAAGAATTTTGGGGTCCAATGCAAATTCAGGTGCAAATTCAGGAAGCGGCTTAGTCATGCTGGCCACATGACCCGGAAGCTGTACGCCGGCTCCCTCGGCCAATAAAGCGAGTTTTGCCATTACTGCATATTCTGATAGTTTCTCTTTCCATGCATCTATTTCAGGACATATGTCAGATTTCCATATGTTAGCCAACACCACTCTAACTGCTATGGTCATATAACTAAATAGTTCCACTGACGATTTCATAATACAGTATCTGAAGGAGTCATCCCCAACAGCATAGTTTTGGGGTCCAATGCAAATTTAGGTGTGTGTTTTTTTTACATTTTTTCATTTTGAAATGAACTTTCCACCAAAACTTTTTGGTCTTTTCACAAGTGCACCATAAATGGAAGAAGATTCCTTAAGGTCTATCACATTTCCAGCAATGTCCATTCATTGCATTATTCATCTTCTGTATATTTTTCTAAGTTATATACCACCGAAAGAACATTTTTGTACACTCACACCTCATGTTACGACCGCTTTTGGGTTGCGGATGGCGGGAAACCTGGAAGTACCGGAACGGGTTACTTCCGGGTTCCGCCACTTGCACATGCGCAGAAGCGCCAAATTGCCCTGGCGCCTGTGCAGACGTGGCGCTTCAGGAAGCGAACGCTGTAGGTTGCGGACGTGCCTCAGTCATGGGTTATGTCTGCAACCCGGGGTTCCACTGTACCAATTTTGTTTTAGGGCTTAACTTGTGTGGATCCGAGTTTTTTTGTGGTGCAGGCTGTTCCCCTGGCTATGACGTGTGATTTGACGGTGAGTTTGGGGTGGCCCAATGCAAAAAGCGTGAGGATCCAGGAGGATCCATGCTTCAAAACACGTTTTTGGACTACGGTGCCAGAAGCGGCTTAGTCATGCTGGCCACATGACCCGGAAGCTGTAGGCCGGCTCCCTCGGTCAATAAGGTGAGATGAGTGCCGCAACCCCAGAGTCGGTCACGACTGAACCTAATGGTCAGGGGTCCCTTTACCTTTACCTTGGGGTTGCCCAATGGAAAAAGCATGAGGATCCGTGCTTCAAAACCACGTTTTTGGGCCATGGTATGGCCAGGAAGCCGTGGATACGAGTTTTTTTGTGATGCAGGCTGTGCCGCTGGACATGATGTGTGATTTGACAGTGAGTTTGGGGTGGCCCAGGGACGCAGGTGGCGCTGTGGGTTAAAGCCTCAGCACCTAGGACTTGCCGATCGAAAGGTCGGCGGTTCGAATCCCTGCGGCGGGGTGCGCTCCTGTCGTTCGGTCCCAGCGCCTGCCAACCTAGCAGTTTGAAAGCACCTTCGGGTGCAAGTAGATAAATAGGGACCGCTTACTAGCAGGAAGGTAAACGGTGTTCCGTGTGCTGCGCTGGCTTGCCAGAGCAGCGATGTCACGCTGGCCACGTGACCCGGAAGTGTCTGCGGACAGCACTGGCTCCCGGCCTATAGAGTGAGATGAGCGCACAACCCTAGAGTCTGGCAAGACTGGCCCGTACGGGCAGGGGTACCTTTACCTTTACCTTTACCTTTGGGGTGACCCAATGCAAAAAGCGTGAGGATCCATGAGGATCCGTGCTTCAAAACCACGTTTTTGGGCTAAGGTGTTGCCAGGAAGCCGTGGATTCGTGATTTTTGTGGTGGATACTGTGCCCATGGCCATGATATTTGATCTGATGGTGACTTTGGCCTGATCTAATGCAAAAATCATGAGGATCCATCAGGATCCGTGTTTTTTAACCATGTTTTTGCTCCATTTCGGCAGCACGAAACAGTGGATGCGTGATTTTTTTGGTTCTGCTTACAGACTAAAAAGTGGTCTACAGTATCATGGTGTTTTTATTTTGTTTCACTATAAAAATCATATGAATTCATGAGGATCCATGCCTCGAATCCATGTTTTTGTGGTGCTGCATCCACGTTTTTGATAGTCCAGTCTGTAGGCGTGCCTTCCAGGTATGATGTGACACTGCATTTGTTGGAGTTATTTTTTAAAAAGTGGAGGATCCATGAGGATCCGTGTAGATCCGCCTTTAACCCAGACCCAAGTGCACAATTATCAAGAATTGAATCCTACACAGGAGTAGACCCACCGGTTAGGCTTTAGTGGGTCTGCTCTGGAGGAGGCTCTGAAAAACGGGACGAGAGCGTGCATTAAGACCGGCCAAGATCATGCGGACAGAGTCAATATTTTAATTAATATTGGTTTATTAATTACAAGCAAACAGCAAAGAACCTGCACAAACGATTATGACACCAAACCCTACATATACTAAGTAAAATAGAAAAATCGCCACCCGACCCCACCCCCACCCACCGTTCCCCCTCTCCACCAATTTCCCCTTTTCTTCCTAATGTCTCAACAAATGAAAATGATTTATAAAAATGTTGCATGGGGGGGGCATGAAAGAGAGACATCGCACACTTTTGTAAATCAACAAAATCTTCAATAAATAAATAACTACTAGTCATAAAAAGGGCCTCCTCACCTGAAGGACATCAAAGCCCACCTGAAGTCCCAAAACAAAACTATCAAAACCATGATCCACGCAGATCCATGCGTGTATGGAGCGATCTGCGTTGATCTGGATCTGATAGTTTACGACTCCCTGTTGTAGGGTATCACATGTATAATAGTATGTTTTGGGACTTCAGGTGGACTTTGATGTCCTTCAGGTGAGCTTTGGGGCGTACGGCTTTCCTCCATCTCTACTGCGCAGGATTCCTCTGGAATTACAAGATCTTTTGCACAGCTTTCCTCCATCTCCACTGTGGAGGATTTCTCTACAATTACCAGATCCAGCAGAGAACCACACTTTGAACAAGTAGTTAGACTCTCGCTTTTCACCGCGCTCCCTGGGGTAATCACCACTACAGTTTCTATTAGAGATGTATCTGTTGTGGTGGTCCTGATGCAACATCTCTCAATCCCAACCAATGCTGCACTCAGCAGCTGGAAACCTGCAGCGATATAGCCTAGATAAATAGAAGGTCCAATATGCTGCTCGCTGGGAATTTGAGGCAATTCAAAAGTTTCAGGGAACTCAATTTCCCCATTTTGCAAGACAGCAGACGTGTTCCATACCACAGAAATCAGGACGAGTATCCCTGCAACTAAGTTCAGGAAAGCTGCAAGCCTAAAAAAGCGAAAGAGAAAATCCTTATGTTTTCTGGGCTTGAACACATTGTACAAGGCAAATGAAATCAACCCCAGGGCCACTGAATTCATAATTGAAGCTAGTGCCATTAAATCCTGTGCAATAAAAATTTCCTTCGGGAGGGTTGGATGCTGCTCATCGAGGTCTTCGCAATGCCAAAAAACGTTGCCGTCGTTAGAAGGGTCTTTCCAAAAGCAGACATCCCAGATTCCAATCCAGATGTTTCCAGAGCCGATTCCCTTGATGTTTTCCACACTCCACACTCGCCAGTTGACACTGAGTGTTGACAAAATGCACATCGACAAGGCCAAAATATCCATCAGGAATGCAGATATCTGGAGGCCGGAAACTAAGCTCAGCCATTGGACCACCAGGGAGCCTTCATTCACCCGCATGGGGGGTTTGGAGAGGAGGGGAGCAGGGGAGACCTTGGCAGACATCCTGGAAACAAAAGAGAAGACAAAATGCAGTGAGAGAGGGAATAACAAGCATGTCTAGTCATTGAAGGACATCCTCCCTCCTGCGTTCTTCCTTCCATGCACAAAAAGAAGCAGCAAAAGAAAAAGTTCCTGCTCTCTCCCACCCCCTGGTTAGGTAGAGACATCTGATCCAGAGAAGCCGACACTCATACTTTCTTCCAGCACACTGCTACTGATTTAATCTACTGTTGCATCGTTCCTGGGAAAATGGCCAGAACCTCAGCAAGCTGTTGTAGATGGGAAGCTGCTCATGATTTTGCTCTTTTGTGGGTTAAACCACAGAGCCTAGGACTTGCCGATCAGAAGGTTGGCGGTTCGAATCCCCGTGACGGGGTGAGCTCCCGTTGCTCGGTCCCTGCTCCTGCCAACCTAGCAGTTCGAAAGCACGTCAAAGTGCAAGTAGATAAATAGGTACCGCTCCGTTGGGAAGGTAAACGGCGTTTCTGTGCACTGCTCTGGTTTGCCAGAAGCAGCTTAATAATGACCCAGAAGCTGTATGCTGGCTCCCTCGGCCAATAAAGCGAGATGAGCGCCACAACCCCAGAGTCGGTCACGACTGGACCTAATGGTCGGGGTCCCTTTACCTTTACTGCACCTATCTTTTTCCACTGAGCATAAACACACCTGATGGCATAGTGAGGAATGTTTAATCCATAAACTTACGTGAAATGCCTTCCTCAGCTAGAGTCTAGCGTGCCAGGAACAGAGCAGGTATTTGCTAGGTGCTCCTGAGCCTCAAGAAGACTGAGCTGTTGGCCACTGAGCTGACGTTCGCCTGAGCAGCCGGCCAGCCACAGCAGCAACTGCTCTGCAGAATTCTTAGGTCAGTTACAGGCCAGTTAGAATCCTGACAACACCACAAATCATAACTCCAAGGTACTGGTCATTTGGAACATCAGGAAAGTGGAAAATGGGAGGGAACTCAGTTCCCTTCTTTCCCAATGCAGAGTGTCTATTCCAGGACACTGTGCAGTTAAAACGCGTTCTTCCTGAAGTCAGATTCAGAGCAGTTCCAGCAGTAAAAATGGTGATACAGTATGTGTATCTCAGTACAGATTTGTTTGATGGGTCTGAATGCATTTCATAAAGGATCTCCATGTACAAGAAAGGCTAATAGAGTGAGGCCCTGAGCCATAAGAATTTCCTTGGCAAAATTATTGAAGACTCCTTACAAACCTATCCTTCTTCTTCCCCATCCCATCTTGTTTGGACGTTATAGTAAGGGAGAAGATCTTAGCTCTTTTCCTTTGCACTGGGACCACATGGAATTTGTGCCATGGGACCCCATCCCTCACACCAATATAGGCTATACCATTTTCAGAACCTAGGTGTCCATGATTTAAAATCGCTTTCCTAAGACACTTCCCTCAAAATATTTGTGTTGCTTTCTTTCTGTTCCTTTTGAAGGACCAACCACATCTGCTATTGGGTCCCTGAAGCACAGATTCACACAAAGCGGCAAAACATCCTTGCAGGTTATTAACAGGATTTTATTTGAAGTGCATATGCAGAACAAAGGTACAGGGCGATAAGTACGCAACCTGCACACCCAGTCAGGGTGCGCCCCCTTGATATAGATTTGCAGAATAGAATACCACCTGATCTCTTGTAAGCCACCTGTTTTCTTGCAAACCGAAAGTTATGGCAACATCCTATGTCCTTACATGGGCTTGCCCCCCCCCTTCCTTCCTGCACCAGCCTCTCCACGCCATGAACCTCGACACGTGTTCAAATGTAAAACATGTGATTTATACTAATAGCATTAAGATGGGGCTTTGTCTCCTGCGTTATCCTCCTCCCTTTCAACTTGCCTCCTTGTCTTCAGTCTCCCCCCGTCTGGGGCCACAATAACACCCATTCAACCTTGCTCTTATCTTTTACCCCTCTAAGCCAGACATTCCAAAGAGAGGCCCATTTTACTGTAACATTTAAGCAACAGAAAAAATCCTGTCCCGCTGGCTGGTGTAGAAACCTCCCCCCTTTGGGATAATATAGAACAATATTGTAATATGCCCATTTACAAGCAAGGGGCCTAAATCCATCTATTTCACTTGAAATAACTTTGGGAGCCAGCCTTTAAAAATCTAAAGGAGATAAATTCAGAGGAATTAAAAGCTGTCATCTTTTTGACTATTTGAAACATCTTAGAACATACACAAATGTTAATGTTTGAAGGAAGGCAGCAAATGGAGCATTGGAGCCATCCATTCATTTCATAAGTTGTGACCATTGATAAGATGAAGCACTTTCACATCACATGGCAGTGTGCAGTGCTTTTAAAAGGTAAATGTAAAGGACCCCTGACAGTTCAGTCCAGTCACGGCTCTGGGTTGCGCCACTCATTGGCTTTACTGGCCGAGGGAGCTGACATTGGTCTGCAGACAGTTTTTCCGGGTCATGTGGCCAGCAAGACTAAGCCACTTCTGGAAAAACCAGAGCAGCGCACAGAAACGCCGTTTACCGTCCCTCCAGAGCGGTACCTATTTATCTACTTGCACTTTGACGTGGTTTGGAACTGCTAGGTTGGCAGGAGCTGGACCGAGCAACGGGAGCTCACCCCGTCAAAGACGCAAGTCCAGTTCTGTATCTGCATGACATCCTCCACACCCAAATGCCTCTCCCGTTCTGTTTCCCCCACTTAATCCGGATACACCATCTCCATTGAAAACTCTGCTCAGTGAGACCATCCAATAGAAAAGTGCTGACCGTCTTCCTGCAGATACACTTCTGTGCAGGGGTTTGGCCGACAAGTTCTTCCCGAGTGTGGGGATGTTTTCAGCGGCTCTTTGCTTTTCCTGCCTCCCCTTTCATCCTCACCTGAGGAGATCTTGGCCATTCTCTTGACAGGGACCTCCGTTCTCAGGCCGGATTTCTTGTTTCCTTCATTCCTCCTTCTCCACCGCCTGGTTCCCTGAGAAAATAGGAGAGAGGAGGTTTCATGCAAAGTCCAAGGTGTGCAATGGATCTTCAGGGCATTTGGAAGGAAGAAAAGGTTCAGGAACAAGCGACGCAGCAAGCCCCCCAAGTGTAAAAACACATTTGGACATATCGCTCATGAGATTCGCCCCCCCCTTTTAGGATATATATGCAGAACATCCTGTGCTCCTATTAATATACAAAGTGGGTATTTCATATGATAAGAACAGAGGAAGCTGCCTTAGACGGAGCCAGGCCAATTTTGGGAAAGTGCTACATGGGCCAGTCCACCAATTGGCTACCAATGAGAACATAGCAAAACACAAAATGGCTGCCATATGGTGTGGTATGAAATAAATTTGCCTGGCTGTGGGGCGTGAAGGCCGCACCCTGCAAGACCCTTTCCACGTGGCCTAGTCCCAGATTCGCTAGCCCCACAAAAGAGGCTCCTCATGAGGCCAGAAGGAACATGGCCTGGCTGTGGGCATGATTTGAAACCTCCAGTCCCAGTCCAGTGCTCTAACCACTAAACCACACTGCCCCCCATTGCAGTCTATAACAGCCTGGAGGGCCACAGATGCCCCATATTCTCTGGCTCTGAGATTGCCCAAAGTTTCCTTTCTCTCCCTTGTTGTGCAAAAAGAAAAATGTCCATGACAAAATGTGACATTTTTGGTTCTTTGGAGACAGTTCTGCTGCTCTCTCTCTCTCTCTCTCTCTCTCTCTCTCTCTCTCTCTCCTCTCTC